CTATTTTGAGACAGGCTCTCTCTATGTAGCCCTGGCTTTCCTGGAAATCACTCTGTAGATGGTTGTCCTCGAACTCACAAAGACGTGCCTGCCTCTGCCTCTTGAGTGCTATATTATTTAAGTTTTTGTGTTTTAAATTTATTATTATTATTATTGTGTGGTGTATATATTTGTGAGTGCTGTGTGTGTGTATGAATGTGTGTGTATGTTTGGGGCATGACTGTAGAGTTCTGAGGACAACTTTTGAGAATCGGTTCTCTTTCTCCACCATGGGTTCCAAGGATTGAACTTACATTGTGAGGGTGACTCGATAAGAATGTTTATCATATTCCAACCAAGGACTATCTGTGGAGATGACCTAGAACCCTGACAATGCAGCCACTTCTGATGAGAACTGATAGACTAAGATCAGAAAGGAGGAGAGGAGGACCTCCTCTATCAGTGGACTTGGGGAGGGGCATGCATGCAGAAAGGGGGGAGGGTGGGACCGGGAGGGGAGGAGGGAGGGGCTTATGGGGGGATACAAAATGAATAAAGTGTAATTAATAAAAGTTAAAAAAAATGTTCAATGAATCAGTACAAATATATATATTTTAAAAGAAAAAAAAAAAAGAACGTTTATCCTTTGAACCATCTCAAAGGCCCAATCATTTTTTTTTATTATTTTTTAGGGTAAGGTCTCATATATCTCACGTTGACTGTATAGTTGAGGATGACCATGAATTTCTGATTCTTCTACCCTCATCACCCAACTTCTCGTAGTATTAATATGCATCATCGTACCTGGTGAATTTTTGTAGTGCTGAGGAGCTCAGAGCTTCATGCATGATAGAAAAGTATTCTACTGAAGAACAATATCCCTAGTCCTGCTAGTGGATATTATTAATGAACCTTTCAAGATATATTTAAGAGCAAACCTTCAAGGACAGAAGTGCCTACTGATCATTGACTTGTACACAGTATTTTTTTTTTCAGGTGCTTTCCACCTAATTTTTTAATTACTTAAAATTTATTCATTTTTTATCCCAGCTATAGCCCCCTCACTTGTCCCCTTGTACTGCCCTCCTGTCCTCTCCTTCTCCCATGCTCCTCCCCAAGTCCACTGATAAGGGAGGTCCTCCTCCCTTTCCATCTAACGTTAGCCTATCGGGTCTTATCAGAACTGGGTGCATTGCCTTCCTCTGTGGCTTGGTAAGGCTGCTCCCCACTCAGGGGGAGGTGATCAAAGAGCCAACCACTGAGTTCACGTCAGAGACAGTCTCTGTTCCCCTTATTAGGGAATCCACTTGGAGACTGAGCTGCCATGGGCTACATCTGTACAGGGGTTCTAGGTTATCTCCATGCATGGTACTTGGTTGGAGTATCAGTCTCAGAAAAGACTCCTGGACCCAGATATTTTGGTTTTGTTGCTCTCCTTGTGGAGCTTCTGTCCCTTCTGGGTCTTTCATCTCCCCCTTCTTTTATAAGATTCCTTGCACTCTGCCCATAGTTTGGTTATGAGTCTCAGCATCTGCTTTAATACCCTACTGGATAGTCTTTCAGAGGCCCTCTGGTAAGCTCCTGTCCTGTTTTCTCCCTTTTCTGATATACATCCCAATTGCCTTTCTGAATGAGGATTAATCATCTTAGCAGGGACCTCCTCCTTGCTTAGCACCATACATAGTTTTACCTTTTATGTTGACCTATCTCTTCATTCTATATTCTAATTTTTCTTTTCCTAAATGTATTCAATAATCAAAGTGAATGCTACTAAAAATTATTCATGTTCACTAACCACAGAAGCTCTACCTAGTAAAAGTAGAATGACCTCTATTGCAAATCAAGAAAAATATATCTACAACATTAGACCTCACTCATACTCTTCAAATATTCACTGTTTCTATGCATCCTTTTTGTTTCCATTTACAGTTTCTGAGATGGTTTCTCTGTGCAGGCCAGGCTGTTCTAGAACTCACTGTGTAGACCAGGTTGGCTTTGAATTCACAGATCTGTCTCCCTCAGTCTTCCATGTGCTGGGATTAAAGGCAAATATGCCATTACATCTGGCTGAGCTCATTTTTAAGATTATTTGTTTGCTTAATATTATTTGTTGTTAAGATTATTTGTTTAAGATTATTGTTTGTTATTAGTGATTATATAACCACTAATATGTTTTCATTGACTTGAAGCCATCACATCCCACCGACCCACACATAAAATATACACATTATCCAGAAGGTTGATTAAGAGACTTCATGTTTTTATTTTGGGCTACTAAGCACCAGTAATACAAAAGCTACTATCATACCTCATTTTGCTACTTTAATCAAAGTGGAACTTCTTGCCATTGTTATACAAACTTTAGAATCTTCTTTCTATTAGAACTGCTGTTTAATCATTATCAGTTTTGGTTATCTGGGTTTCTTTACTCCTTAATTGCTTCCAATTATTAACGTTCTTAGTTCGAAATCCCAGTATTTGTAGATTAGCGTACAAAGGACTGATGTTAATAAAACCTCATAAATATAAATACCCTCTCTGTTTAGTGAACCCATATTCATAATTCTTTATGTCACATGAGTTTGACACTTGCTCTCAATACCCTGAAATGAATTATACTGACAGGGTTGTAATTCTGATCTAAAGAATTGTCTAGAGAAGGAAAATGTCCCTGGGTTCAGACAACTTAATTATTAGTAGACGTTACCTTAGGGTTGTGTAGGAAGGTAGAAAAACAAAAAGTGCTTATAAAATAAATTTTAGGGAAGTTTGGTGGCAACATTATTGAAGCATTACAAAATCATTTTTAATAACCCAGGTTATTGATTCCACACAACCATAAACTGTGAAGGATTATATTCATTATGATGAATATAATCACAATGTGATGGCTTCAATAATGACATTTTTATTAAGCATATCATCTATGGTCACCAGTTTTACCCTTATTTCTTTCATTTCCTCCTGACCTAAGTAGTTGTCTACTTTTGTGTGCATGTATATAAGTCAGAACTACATGTGAACAAGGACATGTGATATTTTTTTTTAAATCTTTTTTTTTTTTTTTTTTTTACCTAATGCTATCCTATTTCTATTCATTGTCTTAGAATGATACTAAATTTGTTCTCTGTGGTTCAATGAAAATTGTGTCAGCCGGGTGGTTGTGGCACAGGCTTTTAATCCCAACACTCTGAAGGCAGAGGAAGCCAGATCTCTTGGTTTGAGGTCAGCCTGGTCTAAAGGACAACCATGGCTGCAGAAAGAAATCCCACCTTGACTCTCCAAAAATAAAATAAAATAAAGGCACTGTGCGTATGTACCATATGGATGCTTAGGTGTGACTAGTGTTGCAGTAATTCTGGATGTACAAGTATCTGTGGTGTGCTTACCTAGATCCTTTAAGCTCTATTTCCAGTAATGCTAAGTTTGATCATACAGTATTTCTTGAGGAACCTCCATAGTTATTAGTATCTTCACTAGTTTACATTCCCAACAATGGTAAGTGTAGAGTCCTAATTCCGTCATAGTCTGTCATTAGTCCTCCCCAGTCTTCATGATTGTTCTTTAAAATTTTTAATTTTATTCTTTCTCTCTCTAGCATACACATAAACACAGAGAGGGAGTTAGGTAGGGAGAAAAACAGACAAAGACAGACTGACAAACTTCCTTTATATAAAATTATTTCTATTTTATGTGCATTGGTGTTTTGTCTGTGTAAGGGTGTCATATCCCCTTGAACTGGAATCACAGACAATTTTGAGCTGCCATATGTTTACTGGCACATGAACCTAGGCTCTCTGGAAGAACAACCAGTGCTCTTAACCACTGAGCCATCTCTCCAGCCACCCCCCCCCCAAACTTTCTTTCTTCCATGTGGATTCTGAAGATTGAACTTAGGTTTCACAGAAATTGGATTTACTTTCTGAGCTGTCTTGTTGGTCTTGTTTGTTTTTGTAATGGCAACCTTTCTGACTAGAGTGAAATGGAGTTGTAATGTAGTTTTAATTTTCATATCTCTGATGATTAATAATACTGACCATCTTTTAATGCACTTATTGGCTTCTTGCAGTCTTGCGATTTAACTGTTTAATATCCTTGCTCATTTGTTGATTGGATTGTTTAGTTATTTATTTTTAGTTCTTTCTATATTCATCCCGTCAGTTGTATAAATGGCAATGATCTTTTCTCATCTTTTCTCATGCTGTAGGCTCTTATGTGTGGTGCTAGAGATTTGAACATGCTAGACAAGTGCTCTAAGACTGAAGTGCATCCCTAAGATTTTTTTTTCGCTTTGGATTCTCTTTCACTTATGCTTGATTCAAAGCAGATTTTTGAGCAAAAATTTAAAAAATGTTTAGTTAATGAAGAAATTTCATCAAAGAAAACATTTACTGAAAAGTTTTAGTTTGTAAATATGGTTCTGGAATTGTTTTTTAAAGCACTGGAAGTTGAAGGAATCAGCTAAGAAGATAACTCTTTGTTTTTGAATCCATATCAGTAACTTAATTTGTTGAATTTTTCTTGAAGTGTCTTTTGTACATGGTATATTCTTACATTTCTATTTACTGTAATGATTATTTTAGCCTTTTGAACAAATTCTCTGATTTGTTCTTTCCCTCCTTCTGTCTAAATTTTGGATATATGGATATTGACATATTTTACACAATTTCTCCAACAACTCTGAGGAATTAAAATTGGACTTCTGATATGAGTTTTCTGTTTTGTTCAGTAATTAAATTTATAAAAGTTGCCATTTTAATGCAGATGAGTCAGGACTTATTTAGTGCATAACAGGAATGTGGTTGAGGCTCATAGTATAACATTAGGTGTCCTCAATTTCAATATTTAAAAGTCATAGTTAATTTTTCTATATGAGATACAGATTATATTTTCTTAAATGTAGATTTGTTAAATGTCTTCTAAGAATAAAATTCCATTTAGTTTACCAACTGCTGATCACCAACATAATTTTGTGATTGTAAGATATGTTAACACTAACATAATTATTTTGTATTCTCCAGATTCTTCTTTGTTCTTCAAATAATGACCATTATGATTCTGTGTATTCAAAAGAATTTCAGTCAACTGCAGGAGTTTGTCAAGGTATGTATGAAAAGCTTTATAAATGTATAGGTATGATTTCAGATGATTTGTTATCAGTCTTTAAACTGAAGGACTTTTAAAACACTGTTAATACTTTTAGAGCTTACATATGGTGGGTTATGAACATTGTTATATGAAGTGTTTTGCACATTGTTACGAAGTGTCTTATTTTGACTGTTGTGATTTTGGCTCTTTTCTTCCTTCAGCTATATTATATGAAATGCTTTATAAAGATGTTTTTGATGTGGAGGAGGAATTATTGAAAACTGCAGTTGATTTGTTCCGAAGTGGCTCCAGGAGAAACAAAAACCATGCCACGACTGGAAATGCAGAAGGCAATACTGATCAGAAAAGCTCAACCGAGAATAGGTACTAATAGGCTGGTTCACTCTATAATTTTCATATTACTTTGAGTTATCATCTGAAAATGAACTTAGTCTTATTACATATATGCATATACCTGTATGTTAGGGACATATTGTTTTTAATAAGAGGACAAAAGTTTTACCAAACTATATTGTGAAATGCTCACACTTACAGAGTTAAAATTAGAATCCTAGAATTAACATTTCTCAAAATTTAGTTGTATACAAGTTACTCAGTGCTGATTAGACAGATTTCTCCTGTCACAATATTTGAGGTGGGATTGTGTTGAAGAATCTCCTTTAAAAAAAAATACTACACTCAGGTTGATCAGGTTTAGCAGCTAGGATCTTTTTACCCACTGAGCCATCTCGCTTACCTGCAGAAGAATATTTTAAAGCTTATTTGGGACCATGAAGAGTGGGAATGGTCTTATCAAAGTGAAAATTGCTTCATTCTTTGCTGATTCCTTAAGGGTTTTGAATTTATGGAAGCAACATTAGATTTTTGTTTGTTGGTTTGTTTTGTTTTTTCTTTTTCTAAATTTATTTATTTTTTGTCAGTTACAGTTTATTTACTTTCTATCCCAACTGTAGCCTCCTCCTTCGTCTCCTCCCATTGCCTTCCTCTTCTCCTCCCATGCCCCTCCCCAAGTCCACTGATGTGGGAGTCCTCCCCTTCCCTCTGACCCTAGCCTATCCAGTCTTATCAGGACTGGCTGCATTGTTTTCCTCTGTGGCCTGATAAGGCTGTCCCCCTCCCCCCATAAGGAACTGATCAGAGCAGACCACTGAGTTCATGTCAGAGACAGTCCCTGTTGACCTTACTAGGGAACCCACTTGGACACTGAGCTGCCATGGGCTACATCTGTGCAGGGGTTCTAGGTTATCTCCATGAATGGTCCTTGTTTGGAGTATCAGTTTTTTTGGGACAGGGTTTCTCTATTTAGCCTTGGTTGTCCTGTACTCACTTTGTAGACCAGGCTGGCCTCTTACTCACAGAGATTAGCTTGTCTCTGCCTCCCCAAGGGCTGGGATTACAGGTTTGTGCCACAGTGCATGGCTAGAAACTACAGCACTTAAAAAGTAATAAATATTACTAAAAAAATTCCAGCTTAAAACAACATTGGTTTTATTATTTATGTGTTTTATAAGTTATGCCATGGCTTAGCTTACTCTTCTGTTGAGGATGGCACATGGCTATAATGAAAGAGTTGGCCAGGATTGAGTTCTTGCCTGAAACCTCCGGAAATACATACTCATGGTTCTTTTTAGCTGATAACTTCAGTGTTTTTATTATTATTATTATTATTATTATTATTATTATTATTATTATTATT